TTCTGCACAGCACTGTGGAAGTGTCGAAGATTTGATGATCAATTCCCTCTGGTTATTCTCTCTGCTATTCTTCCTGGATTGACTCTCTCTTGTTGAACTTTATTTCTTCCTTGAGAATTCTTATGGGATTTAAGTTTAATTTCCGGTGACTATTTACCCTGTTTTATTTGCATTGCGATTTCTTTTCCTCTGAGATTTTGTTTTGTATTGTGCTGAGACTCATAAATTTCAGTAATTATTGGGAGAAATATTTTTCCAATTGTTGATTGTTCATATCAGCTTGTCACTTTAGGTAGCCCACAAGGGCGGACCTATCACTAAATCCAGCACAAACTAAAACTTACCGTATGCAATAGCATTTAATTCTTATATACCCAAGCATTTGAGGGTAACTTATGGGATGAGGTGTAAATAGAGATGAATAATTCAAACCATTCCCTTCTGATGTGACAAAAAGAGAGTTGAACTTTACTTAAATTTTTCCTACGCTAATTTGTGCTCATTTGCAGTGGGTATGAATGCCAAATATCAGAGAACACGTTATAATTTGTAGTTGTTTCATTTCACAACATCATTTTTATTATAAACTACCTACCTGTCTCTTCATCAGCCTTTGATTTCCAGCCGTCACACCGCTGTGCGGATCCCCAATGCATTCTGTATCGTGTGTTTTGCTCAATCACAGGCTTCCTGCTCCAATCCCCCTTCAATCTGGGATTATAATGCAAAATTCTTGGGGGATCCTCGCCATCCACTATCTTCAACCCTTGCAACTCCATCACGAACTGTGCCGCTGGCACACGATGAACTGCCCCAGGGTTGACAACCTGCGGCTTCCCTACCACTGTTATGTGGGACCCCAATGTCAGTCCACAAGGAAGGACCATGACTAGCCCCTGAGCCAGAAACTCAGAACCAGATAGAGAAATCGATGCTGGACATGACTCAGATTGATGCTCGGACTTCTTAGGGACGGTCCTCAAATTCAACGTTTCCAACTTTTCCCAAATCTTCTTACCCAGAATCCAAGCATTCTTTGCTGACTCATAAAGCTCGGACGACCCATCCCTACCCGACAAATGAAATGTATCATTGTTGAAGATCAAGCCAGACATAATTTTGTGCTCATTTAGTTGTCTATGAGTGCGTTGATCAGCATTTTGAGAAGCTTCTTCAAGAGGGAGGGTTGGAGCTTCAATTTTTTCGAAGTCCTCCTCGCTCTCCAGCCTTGGACGGTTAGTCAAGAAATCATGAGGCACAACACTAAACCTGGATTTGAACACAAGGGGGATTTCCAGCGTGACCAACATTATATACAGCAATCCAAATATGATCAGAATCTGAATGGGTCTTTGCCTGATCAATGCCACAAAAGTTTCTAATTTTTCTGTCCTACATCTCTTCATCTCTGACTTTGGCGTCATATCGTGTGCCACGGATTCCAAAATGTTATTGAGCTCAGGTGGATTTAACAAAAGCTTAGGGCAAATAATAACTACGGGAGCGAAGAGAGAGAGATGCTACGTTGGGCCAGCGACACAGTGTCATAGGAGTTGGAGGAGTCTCCGTTGGATGCCGCTGGGTGATGAAGGTGCATTTTCCGAGAAAATTATAGAAATTTCCGTTTTGGAATAGAAAATGAATGTGAAAAAACTTTAAGATGGGAACATCGATGGATTGAAATTTTGAAAACGGAATTGAATTCGTCGTAATCGCAGGAGTACCCATCAAAGCATAAAATTACACCAGATTCTTGATGCTAAAGATGAGAAGACTAAAACGTTGTTAATGTGATTTGTGATTTTCACATTTACATGAATACCTGTCATAGTTACTGTTTTCTCGGCTAATTCCGGACTCCGGATGTCTCTCTCTGCTCTCCGAGCAGAAACCGTTAAACCGTTTAGCTCACAATGAAATAAGAAAACAGATTTACCGTTACGACTTGGGATGAATTTTTTTTTTTTTTTTAGTCATCGGTTACTAATGAATTGACACATCATTGATTATTAATTTATATTTATTTTAAAAAAAATACCATAATAAGTCCTGTACTCTTTTGATTACTCATGGTTATGTAGGCAATTTTTTGACTTATGTTGATATTAAATGTCGGCATCTTTTCTTAAAGAGATTCGAACTTAAATCATTAAATTATGAAGGACGAGCCTCTTTGATTAAATTTAGTTTCAGTTGATAATAAGTCTTGTACTGTAATTATGTTTTATGTTTAGTCTCTATAATTATTTGGTTATTTTCAATTACTTTAATTTGATTGGTTGCAGCTTTAGGGATTGTTTGTGTTCTATTTTTAAAAAAAATAAAAAAAACCTATTTCAATAAGTGTTTTTGATTTAATTGTTTTTATGACTGTTCTCATTTAAAAAAAATAAAATCAAAAATATCTTAAAATTATTTTTATTTTATTTTTCTTGCCAAAGCACACTACATTTTATTATTGAAAACTATAATTAACTTCATAAATTTTTATAAACTATTATTATTAACTCCCTACGACTATTACTATCAACATATTTTTTTGTTCTAAAAATGTTTTAAAATTAATATAATCAAATAAATTTTTATTTTGTTTTGTTTTAAAATACAATTCTAAAACTTATGTTACACAAGTTTAAAAAAAATGAGAGCAAAAATTTAACAGACCTTTTTATTTTATTTTTTTATTCCATTGCTTGGAATTTCAAAAAACTTGGAGGCATTACCAATGAAGCACCAATATTTCAAAGTGCCTCATGTATTCATGTCAGTATTGCCAAATATTGATACGTCTATGTACCCATAAAGTATTCAAATACTAATTTTTAATTTAAAAAAATTTTAATTTTTAATACATATCTGATTCCTTTAAATGACAAATAGATACTTCAAGGTTATTTTTAAGAAATTAAGTTTTCTTAAATATTAAAATATTAATTTTTTTATTTCTAATATATTTAGAAAATAAGTTTTAGATATGAGAAAAATATAAAAATTATATTTCCTTAACTATAAGATGTTGGATTGTAATCTTTCTGTAAACCCTAAACAAGGACTAAGTGGTAGGTAATTAAATATAGATAGAATAAAAGTATAATTAATAATTATATTTTATTTGGTATTTCTATAAAAAAAATATAAGTTTATTAGTTTGGATATTTTTTGAATTAAAATTATATTTTTATTATTTTATTTATTTTTTATAAATATATACACACACCAATGTATCAAATACGTATCATATTTTATATTTTTTAAAAATCAAAGTGTTAGCATATTAGATATATATCTTATCTATGACATATTAAGGTATTACTACTAAGGGCACCTTGTTTGTATATATGTTTTTAAATCCCAGCCTCCCTTATTATTAAATCCTAGTTCATCCATTAATTGCCATGTCCTACCAAGGATTTAAATTCAAGCCTCTAGAATAAATTAACTTGAATTTCTTGACTAGTTAAACTAATCACATCTCAATTATTTTTTATAGTTTGTATTGTATCTATGCAATACTAAGGTATTATTAATAAGGACACCTTGTTTGTATATATGTTTCTAAATCCCAGCCTCCCTTATTATTAAATCCTAATTCATCCATTAATTGCCATGTCCTACTAAGGATTCAAATTCAAGCCTCTAGAATAAATTAACTTGATTTTCTTGACCAGTTAAACTAATCACCTCTCAATTATTTTTTATAGTTTTAAAAATACATAAAATGGTCATAAGTTGTCACCAACAATTATGTTTTGGGCCAATACTAACGAAGTTAAAAATGCAAATACAAGCCTCTTTGGTAACTTGTTTGGCCAATACATATAATGGAAGCTTTGGTTGGCTGTTTGAAAAAGTTTATTTTCTGTTGCTAACATATGATATATATTAAGATGGCAACTAGTTACTTTGACATGATGTTTAGAGGAGTATGTTGATTGGGAAAAGAGCTCATAAAATAAGAGATTATAGAGATGTCATAAAGGGGGAACATGGATTCTGCGCTAACTAATGAAAGATTTAACAATAAAAAGAATAAATGAAAACACAAGTGCAAAACGTACAAACTATACTCTAGACAGCTTGTCAAGATTATTCGAAAAAAGTATAATAGAGATGCAACACAATATACCCATATTGCATCTCAAATGTGACGTGATTTTAACGCTCGTGCTAATTAAATTTAGCTTTATGTTTTTTAAATCAATATTTTAGAGATTTTGCTTTGAACAATGTTAGTTGGTTGACTTTGCAATCAAACAAGTTTTTCCCCCTTCAAAACAAGTTCTAAGAATAATTTACTAAACAAGTTTTTATATTTTTCTATTTTTAAATATAATTTTTAGAATAATTATTTAAACAAGTCTTTTTTTTTCCTCAGAATATGTTATACAGAATACCTGTTCTCAAAGAAACAAAATAAAAACATTTTATATAGACACTAACTTTCTTTTGCTTTGGCCGAAGTAATAATACTACTGTGGTTTTAAATTGTTCATCAATTATACTTTAATTTCTTTGTAGATAAAATATTTTTGGAAAAATCGCAGATTAGGACTGATGAAAAAAGTTATTCATAAAAAAAGGTCAATACACAATTATTTATTATTAAAATAAAAATATTTACTTGTTTTTTCTTAAATAATGATTTATTATTAATTATTATCTGTGGATAATTTTTTTTTCAATGGTCCTTGCATGCAATTTTTCTATTATTTTTATTGATTAAAAATAAAAATACAAGGTGTATAATTCTTCATGAGTAAAATAATTTCACACTTTTCTAAAAATGGGTTACAATTATTGATAATTAATTATTTTATATGTTATAATTCAATTAAAAAATCATAAAACATTAATATATAAACATATTAAAAATTATTTTCACATAATTTTATAAAAATAAATTAAAAAAAATCTTATAATGCGAGTCACAAATATATATATATATATATATATAAAAGTGCTCTTTTAAATTTTCCGTTGGTTTTTCTATTCTTCTACACTTTCTTCGGACACCGTTCTGGTCTTCCTAGAAACGTATATATGATCCAATTCGCTTTGCAGAAAATCGGAGAAGATGGTGGCAATTTCGCTCTACAGAGGGAATCTGCATAGAGTCCCCGACGTGACTCGCAGATGGCTCATGCCAAACCCTAAAATTTCTCTCAAAGATTTCAAGTCCCTTCTATTGCGTCGTTCCAAGGCCCTTTCTCTCCTTCATACTACCACCACCTCCTCCAATCCGAACCCAAGCCCTAACCCTAACCCTAACTCTCCCCCTAAAGCTTATACTGATGCTCCTACAGTTAACGGGTCTATTCTTTGTGTTCAATCTGAAGCTATAAAGGTCAGTGAGAATGGAGAGGGGCCTTCACGGAAGGACGAAGATCACAAGGAATCGGAACCTCTTGGTCCTTTTTTAGATTCCAAGACTAAATTACCGGAGAAAGCTTCTGAACCTGTCGATGGTGGTGCGACTTCAATGGAAAATCAGATTGTGCCGGTAAGCTTCCTGTGGGGCGCTTACAAAAAGCGTATTATATCTTCATGAGTCCCTTCTCTGGTTTGATGATGTGACTTAACTCGCTTAATTCAAACGATTCTGGAAATACCTGCTATTCTTTTGCCGTTGAAAGCAGGCTCATTTGCTCACAATTCCTGTCTGTTATGTGGCAGATCAGAGACAAGGAGGATTTGTCAAGTGACAAAGAGAAAAGGAGGAGGGAAGTTGAAGATAAGTTACAAATTTTGAATGCGAAGAAACATAATTTAGTACTGGTGTTGAAACAGGTGAGTTCTGGCTTTGCTATCGGACGCAAGAGTCGAATGGGAATGCACGAAAGAAACATTTTGAAGGATGCTCTTTTTATAGATACATGAATTACATATCAGACTTGGCGAGTAAACTGAACTAACTAACTTCTGTTCTGTACAGATCAAACTCAACTATGTTAAGTTATAGTTGACACTTGACACTGTCTTTTCGTATTTGCTGGACACTAGTATTTCAGACTTTATGTTCTCAATGTGTGATTCTGCATTTTTCCTTTTAGGATGTGGTTTTCAGTTCTTTACTTGCGAGCAACAAATTAAATATTGGATGTGATGGTTGGCAGATATTGAATGCAGAGGAAGAGTTGAAAAGACAAAGCAGTATTCAAGGGACTGCGATGCGCCCTTCTGTGCCACTTCAAGCAGATGGAACAAATGATACTGGATCAATGGGTAAACACGGGGCTCCAAGGATCAGTTCAGAAGCAAATCTAGGTGATGATGTGGAAGGGGTTGCAGCTGATGATCTTGCAAATCATAGTATTCATTCTCGCCACATGCTTCGCACAAGTAGCATGTCACCTTCTTCAGATTCACCACTTAGGAGGACTCCGACTGTTCAGCAAAATGCGGTAATTTATCTTGCTTAGACAGTCAAGCTGCAATTGCGTTTCAGTTTAACTGTTTGAATGTCTTTTGATTTATAGACATATATGCTATCCTATACTCGTTATTGGAGTTTCTGGCATGAATTTATGAAAATGGGAGCTATATGGTGCACATGGGAGGGTCTATTATGGTCATTCAAGATAAATCATGCGTCTATCAAGCTCAGCCCAAACACTCTCCGAACATAATAAATGTATAAATGGTGCCTATTGCACCTTCTCTAGGCCTGTTATGTATGGGTTCTTCTGACAGGGCAGAATTAAGCACTCAAATTTGTTGAAGTCGTGGAATTCATTTGAGTTGGGAGAGGTTCAAAGGTGTATACTTCCTATTATGTTAACGATTCCTGTGATGCTGCAAAGCACGGCAAAGAATGTGGCATAAATCTGGTGTATTCTATTGCTCTGGCATTTTTTGGTTGTCTGGAGTGAAGCTTCATCATATACCTAACTAAAATTGTTAGTTGCGTGTGGATAACTTTTACCATATTGGACTATGTGCGACTACTTTATGGCGGGTTTAACTGAATAAATAAGTAATGTCAAGCTATAATGGAGCGGCCGAATTTGAACCCACAAATACACACTTTTAGTCTGAATGTCTGACCATTCATGTATATATCAATGTTTTATTGTTATATTTTCTGTGAAGGTTTCACATCTGCCTCGAGCAAACTTGGGTACCACGGCTAGTCCATCCCGCTTTGCACTGTCAGGACATCAAACGAATCCCGTGAACCCACCTTCAGTATCTGTATCAGGAATAAGTTATATTGCATCGTCCCCTTCCCCAGCGGCATCCGGTGGCACTTCAGTTTTCAAAGATGCTCGGCAGCCAAGCCCCTGGAACTAGGATTTTGGTTTGAAACTTGGAGACCTTATTTCTGTATCCTCATGGTGTCATGCGCTTTCCGGAATCAGAAATGGACTAAGTCTAGCCATACCTCTGTCTGTCAGAAGTGAGAATTCTCTGCATTGTTAGCTTACCCAACTTGAAGGACTGCTTCTCATCGGAGAGTGAAAAATACAAGGTCAATCCCATCCTTTTAAAAGTTAATGTAACATGCTGTCCTCGTTGTCTGGAATCCTAGTTTTGTATTCACCTATGAACTCGTGTCAAATTAAGATGTGGGCGTGTGGTAGACTGTAGACCTGTATTGTAAATTGTTTATGGAAAATAGGAAGATATATCGAAGCGTCAACCTCATTCCTGTACCATTTATTTGGCAAAAATTTTTTGGTATGGAGTTTAATACCAGAATTTCAAAGTGTGTGTGCTTGTTTATAAATAAGTTAAAAATATAAGGGATGCATGCACATTATCCCAAAATTACCATGTCACGTGTGCGCGCTGAATTAATGCGTATGCGCACACTTGCAGCATACTCGTATATGCCAGTTGTCTTTCTAGCGCAAATGATTATAAAGTTAAAATATCAGTAAAATTTTGATTAAAAAGTAAATTTGTTCTGGAAATTTTTCATTAAATACAATTAATAGTTTAACTTTTAAGTGGTGCAATATTCTTTTGAAAGTTTAAAAAATGATGCATTACTTTCTAGAAACATTTTACTTATGTTGGTTATTAGTTGAACGATTTTGATTATAATTATATGATAATGTTGTCTTAGCAATTTTTTTTTAAACTAATTTCTTAAACTTTCGATTGACACAATATTTTTCAGTTATTAATGCATATTTTTTTATTCTAAAGTTATTGATATTTAAATCAGAAGAAACAATTAATAACCCATTATAAGTGTTCAAAAATTGTGACAAAAAATTCAAGACAAATTTGTCAACCCTTAAAATTTCAACCAATAAAAATAAATTATCTAGAAATTATTATATTAACATGATTAAGAAAAAATTTCAAGTACATGGTATTCTGCTAAATTTCAAATGAAAAGTTAAATGATGAAAGAAATAATAATTATATGATCGATTCAGTGAAAATGTTATTTACACGACATTGGACGGTGAATAGAACATAACTAGATTTTAACCCCGTGTCATATACGGGAGTTTAACATTCTATTTAATTTGAGGACAATGAAAAAAAGTAAGAATTTTTTTCAGAAAATAAAAATAAATAACAATATATTGCATCATATTTTTTAAGGTTATTTTTTAATCAAATAATAATCAAATTTATTTTTTGTTAACATCAAGAGTTAGGCTGTACCATTTTTAAAAGTTGAAAGAAAATATTATATAAAAGATAAGTTTACCTAACAATTTTTCTTGTAATTTATATTTTTTATAATTTGCTGTCCATATCAAAAATTTAGTAGAATATTTTATTTTAAAATTTATTATATATGTATATATTAAATTTTAAAATTTAAATTTAAGTAGAATATTTTATTTTAAAATTTATAACCCATGCAATGTACAGAATAAATTATAAATTATTTTTAATCGAATCTCATATTATATTAAAGTAGTTATTTGTTTTCAAATTAACATAATCTTTTTATATTCACTATTTAATTGTGTGTTTAACTCTAAAATAACTACATCTTTAAATATTAAAAATATCTTATACCTTTTAACATCCAAACCCTGAGAAATAACTCTAAAAAAATAGCTTATATTTTTTAACGAATGAAATAAGTTTACTAAAATCATATTTTAAACATATATGTATAAAAAAATTAATAAAATAAGAGATAAATTAGTCAATATAATTTGTGTTTATGTTTATTTAAATTTTATTACATATCTAACACTTATTATTTTTACTAAGAATTTTATATCCACATATAATTTTTACTATAAATCCTACATAAGTTATAGGTCCCGCAATCTTTTTTTTTTTTGGTCATTGATAATTTCTTTGCATATCAAATACATTATTTTTTTATTAAAAATATTATATTCACCGTCAATTTTTACCATGAATTCTACATAATCTTTTAAAATGTAAAAATCTTCATATATTTTACACATTATTTAAATTTTTAACTTATATAAATGTTGACCTCACACCCACATTTTTTAATGGTAGATGACACATGCACTTTTTTACTAAGTCCTGCAACTATACTATTTATTTTTTTTTAACAAAATCATCCATTAACTAATTTTAAAAAATATTTTTTAAAATAATTATTAATTTAATTTTTTATTAATTAAATTATAGGTCCCTTGTCCACTTTTTTATCACTAAAAACTTCTTTACATTTCTAACACCCATTATTTTTACCATGATCTTTTAAAATATAAAAATATTATTATATCTTACACCTAGTCTAAATTTTTAAAATTTATAAATATATCACCCCACTTATATTTTTTAACGATAGGTTCACAAACCACTTCTTTAAACTACACTACTCTAATTTTTAAGGAAATCAAGTTTATTAAAATATCAAATTCTCTCCATTCCCATTAGATTTTCAATTGATTTTAAAATAGATAAATATATAAAAAAAATCTACAATCGAACCTAACTCTTGCATCTCTAGCTCTCAAATTTATTTAGGCTGATTTAACTATCCCAAATTTTTAAAAATTATTTTATTTTATTTTTCTCTTTATTGAGTCCATAAACTATGTTTTTGAAATTTTTTTGGCCAATTTATATATTAAATTTTTAAAAAAGTTACAAAATTAATTTTTTGGTAATTTAAATAATTTTTAGATAATATTTATATTTAAATAGAATCATTTTAGTTTAACACATATAACTTAAAAGTCAACTAATGATTAGGTTGATGAAAAAAAAATATTAAAAATATAAAGAAGGCTTGTATTTTATAACTATTTATATTCAGAAAAAAAATATTCATATAGGTTTCAAAAAATAGAAGACATGTATCATTAATTAAGATAAAACAAAAAGAATGTTAAAATATTTTACTCATTTTTAATTATGAGTTTCATATTAACTATTTAATTTTTTTGTAGGTTCCACATATATAAAATTTATAATCAAACTTAACTCTTAACACCTTTAACTTTTAAATTTATCTAGGCTAGCTTAATTACTGCAAATTAAGTAATTTAAATGATTTTTATGCAACATCTATATTTAAATAGGGATAATTTAGTTTAAAAATATATATGACTTAACAATCAACTAATGGTTAGATAGATTAAAAATTAAAATCTTAAAAATAAAAAGAAGGTTTGTATTTTATGACTATCCATACTAAAAAATATTCATATAAGTTTTAAAAAAATAAAAGAGAAGTATCATTAATTAAGACAAAAATATACAAAATATTTTACTCATTTTTAATTATATATCCCACATGTATCTCTTTTACTACAGGACTGACCTTAGTTTTTTCTTTTTTATTTATTATAAAACATTAAAAAAATTAACAAATAAATTTTTTTTTCAAAAAAATGTGAGTGGGTACTGTATATCTACAGTAGCATCCATAAAAATGGAAAAAAAAAAAAAAAAGGTCATGGATGGGTATCGATATACAACACCCATCCAAAACAATAACAAAAAAAAAATGATGAGGCAATAAAAAATGAGGGGGGAGAAAAGTTAGATGGTATTGCAGATCTACAATATCCATCTGACGGCATTTACATGATATTATTAATTATTGATTATAAATTATAGATTGACTTGAGTAGAACGTCAAGGTTTTTTGGATTAAAAAAAAATGTCAAGTTTTTTCCCCCAAAGTCAATTGGATTGAGTGGTTGGCTAAAGCTTGTTGCATCTCTAAGGCGCCCTAATCCTCCCCACCTCTTCACGAAAGTCACATTACACACACAACTCCCCCCCGACATTACCCGGACATATTGCTGCCGTTGTTGTTGTTGCTCTTTTTTTTTTTTTTTTAAGCTAAACGAAAGAGGGACGAAGTCCAAAAATTACAAGAACTCAGCAGGGAACCCAAGCCCCGATTGATCATGAATATACACAAATTTTTTTTTTTTTCGGGGGTCAACAAAGAGTATGCCCAAGATAATTTAAGCATTTAACATAAATCTCATCGTTGCCAAACAGTTCCTCAAAAGTAAAAAAAATGCTATTGCTGTAATGCTTTTGGTCTCCTTTGTTTCGATTTCTCTATGTGGTTGGGTCTCCCTCCAATGGAAACCTCTACAATTCATTATGATTTGTGTTTTTAGTATGTTAATTTAATTTTAGAATTTATATGATCTTTTAAAAGGTAAACTTACTTTATTTTAGACTAAGAAAGAGAACATCTGCGTTTAATCTGCCAAACCCAAATTTGAGTCTAATAATTCCTTTAGATTTAGGAATCAAGGAACTAAGACACAAAACCTCTTAGCCTTGAGCCTAGTTGGGGAAATAGACCAGACCTAAATAATACAACTCAGGAATTCCACCTGTAGTTGGGGATGCCTGCAATAACTCAACTCAAACATTCACTTTCTTGAAAGTGCCCCAAGATTTCCATCTTAAACAACCTTATGACCTTCTTGCCTATTCCCGTGACACTCCCACCCCTTCAAATCCTTTGCGAGACCATATGGCCATCACCTTACCACATTACATGCCAAATAAGCATAAGCACAGATCTATATTGCACAATAATCAATAAAGTTATCTACTCGTTACTTTCAAAATTTTAGTGAAGATTAACAAGTGTTGGCCAATATTCACCATGAGCGTTGCACGCTACATTTAGTTGGGAAGTTGCATGCCAGAGTCTCAAGGCACACTACGTTCGTGTTTGGAAAACCGCCTAATATAGCTATCAGTCTAACGTTTCATGAGATTCCTGTTTTTTACTGGAGCACTTTTAAGCCTCCTCCATTGCTCTCTTATGATTTTGCAAGCACCTGGCTTCACTATGCTCGCTATGCTCCTGTTCCACCATTGCCATCTATTATATTGTTCATTGATGGAATTGCTATAGTAATGGACAACAAGCTTGTTTGCTCACCTGAAGATCTTTTCCACCACCACCTCATTCAGTGGAAAGGCCATCCAAATTTGGATGCCACTTTGATGACAAAGAGCAAGTTTAATTGCATAGATACCATTAGCTTTTTGACCCTGACGGGAAGTTCTTTCAAGTGATTGGGGATAATGGAAATCTCTACAACTTATTATGGTTTGCGTTTTCAGTATTTTAATTTTAATTTGGAATTTTCATTATCTTTTAAAAGTTTATATTTTTCTTTATTTTAAAAAAAGATATATAGGATTATCTTATCCAATGTAGGATTTAGGTATTTTAAATTTTGAATAAATATTATCTTATCTTTTAGGCCAGTAGCAGTAGATTTTACCTAGATTTCGGATTAGAGCTCTACAAATAATCCCAAGACTTTCTCAATCATTATAACTCTGATATTTTGAGTATTTGTCTGCTTCTCAATCTCCCCTTTCCCTCTCCCTGTTTCACATCACCCTCACTTCCTGCAATTTTAGGAGCAACAATTCCCAGTCCCACAATGGGGTTTTTGCCTAATTACGATTTTAACATGGGACAAGCTACGAACAGGACATTTTTATTTGAATACCCTGGCCTTTATCTCTGACTGGGATGCTGACTATGATGTAACAACTAACAAGTTAGACAACTTAAACAACTCGAAAAGCAGCGTTTCTGATCATTGAACGGCACTACAAATAAATAAGGTACATTGTTGGTCTCACTCAACCCAAAACTTACAGAAAGCATACCTAAATCGAGATGAATGTCAAAAAACGAAAGCTGAGATTCTCAACCTCCATCAGTCGATAAAACAAATACCTCATTCCTTCATGGACAGCTGCAGATTCAGGTTCAACTTTGAAGTCCAGTCTCATAGATTCATTCTGGAAACGTGAGAATAAATAAATAGACAGAAGATGGACCAGAACCCCCCTCCAAAAAAAAAAAAAAGAGGGGGGAATAAATGAAATGAATAAACTTACTCAGGAATATCTATTCAAGGCAGCAGCACTGATGGGAATCACGCCAGCTGGTGACACAAGAACGTCAACTGGGACATCAGATGAAGTTGTTGGTATAACTCCTTCATCCAATATTTGCTCAGAGTATGATAGTGCAACTGCAAATCAAAAGCCAGATTGTGTGATCCTGTTAAATTGTGTAGGCTAATTCTAAACCAATCATCTAGATAAATTCTAGAAAGGAAAAATGCATACCAAATAAGGGTTGCTCCCAATTTCGTGCCTTAGCAAGATCCTGATAGTTCCTCAGAAAGTTATCATAGTATCTGGATAGAAAAACAATATGTGACCAACCGGTGGATTAAGATTAGCCTTTCTGACTAAACAAAAGGAGTGAAATATTCAAGATTAAGCTTAAAAGTTTGTGAGATTGATACTGCTCTTGCAGGCATATAAGTTGGCTCACCGAGTTTCAACAATAGTAAGGATTGAAAGAAAAACCCGAAAAAAAAAAAGAAAAGAAAAATTATCCTTCTCAAATGTTTCACCCAACAGAAACATTCATAAGAAACAGATTGATATGCTGAGACAGGAGAAAAAGTGAAACAAGTACCCTCCACCACGGCCTAAACGTCTTCCAGATTTATCAAATGCAAGTCCTGGAAAAAGAAATAGTTAATTAGCTATTTTCAGGTTCAAATGATAGTAATTATTATTAAATAAAAAGACAAGAATTACCGGGTAAAAGGAACAAATCAACTGGTTCATTAGCCTGCATAACTGCATCAAAGAGATCTCTCAAAAGGTTGCAGATAGCCAATCAATAATTTAGGATAACTAGTGAATATATTTGATGGAAGTCAACCCTACAAAAATTAGCAAAATGGTATTAACTGCACAAAAACAGACAAGGCAGATGGTAAAGGAAGCAAACAAACTGAACCTGGTCCCACAAAAGCAGGTTTGTCAAAGTTACACCATCATTAGGCTTATCATTTTTCCCTTTTTCTAAAAAAGACTGAATTAACATATTTTAGGTAGAAGGAATCCTGCTTAAGAGAAGCAAACAATACATAATAAATCAATTTCATCCTGGTTCAAGACGACCTAATGGTGTCATGAAAGGGATGGAAAATAATGGAATGACAACAGATGATTGCCAAACACAACTAAGAAGCTCAGACAAGAAAATTATTTAGCAATAAAAATAAGATCACAAATAATAGCGATTTGCTTGTAGTTTCAAATTCAAATTTAAGAACTAAGTGAATTATGTCCATGTTTTAGCTACTAGAGTATTATTATTTTATTATTATTATTATTATTGAATGGCAGCAAGAAAGAGAACTAAGAAGGATAACACTAAAAAGATATTCCATATAGAAACTTCCATGGATATGTAGAAAAGGCTACTGCACTTGAGCCTAAAGGTGAATTAGAGAGGGAGAGATGCTAACACTTCAAAGCAATTATTCAACTTGGGGATGGGAAGCAAGTACCATCTTCACGCTCATTTCCCTCAGCATCTATAGGATCTGGTTCCAAAATGTCCATAGAGTTTGCAATGAGATCATCAATACGTGAGATATTAAGCATTCGCATGTGGCTATTCTTATCCTCCACCCGTGGTACATAGAGTTTTTTGCCACCTTCATGATAATCATATTCAGAAACAATAAATTGTTGACGCTAAAGTAGAATAAGAAGACTAAAGCAGCTAAAGGACGGGGGAATGGGGCAATGTTGTTCAACCCCTAAAGTACGCCCCTGCCATCTAGAATATTAAAATCAGGCAGGATGGCACTAATAAAACACGTATTGACTGAGCAAATGGAGAAATTCCTATAAATTTGAAAATACAATGGAAGAGCTAGATTTTAAATGTAAAATTCATAGGTACCATACCCAAGACATGCATGAAAATTCCAGCCCAACATGCACACAATGCCACAATGGATCCCTTGGACAATTTCTCTCCTTCCTTGGCCACAGCATTTTAGGATAACAACAATAACCTACTTTAACTGTTAAAAGTTTTATATGGGTCTCTAGATGCAAAATCACCATCCTCAAAAGACTATTGTATGTTCAAAATTTCATATTTAATGTTTGATGGATCCCAACACACAGCTGCCACCAAAAGTCCAAAACATATAGCAGGAGGCATAAATTCATAATGGAACAACAGTGGGAAGAAAAGGGGGAAATGCTGATCCAGAAGAGAGCATGATGTTAAGAACCAGAGAAGGCAGATAACTACAGGCATAAGAAAGAGGATTCAAATTGATAAAATAGAATGGAGCAGTTAAAAAGTAGTTTGATAGGGGTATTTAAAGGAAAATATGTGAAAAGGGGTGAGGGAAGGAGATTTTAAATCTAGTTTTTGTGGAAAAGTTAAACCTCTCAAAACGTGGCATGTGTTGTTCCTCTTACCATTTTGCTGTAACTGTTTGCTTTTGTGTTGCTGTGACTGTGTTTCCTCTGTCGTATTTCAGTGAAAAACTTTGTAGGCTTTAAAGTGTGACATAGAATGGGGGTTAGGTATTCTAACCCCCTGTCCAAGGAGTATCTCCCGTCTCAGTAACATGGTTGGCAGTGACATTGTGATATTTCAGTAATATATAGCACTTTCTTTTTTATTATTGTAAAGATTTTCAGGGTCCTATCGGTATCAATTCATGTCAATAAGACAATGACCAAAGTTTGAAGATATAAGTCATGGCATACCCGTGGCCGGATCTTGCAAAATATGTGACAACAGCTTGGATGTATCAACTTCTCGTAAAGCACTGCAGCTTATATATGCGCATAATCTATGACTTGATTTGAACCACGTAGCCCCCAAAATCATATTTTGAATTTCATTATCTAGAAAAAAAAAATCGAAAATTAATGCAAACTTCAATTTTTTACAATAAGGAGGCAAAGAATATTTCTGTAAGCAAGCGTTTTAAGAACAAGACAACAGTGTGCATAAATTTCACTTTTTCCCTACAGTGCATACGAAGGCTAATATTGGAGCTGCAGCAATAAAAGAAAAGCTTCATCGAGAATAAGAAAAACGTTTTTCAGAGTTTTAATCTCTGAATAATTGCCATTATCTTCAGCAGTCAGACACTAATCCAACTGCGTGGATAGCCTTCTCTTGTTTCTAACTAACAAATAATGCTCCCTCATAGGAACTTCACTGATGAAAGTAATCCTAGCAAGTAGCAAGCCAATGACTCACTAATTTACTTATTCATTTATATGTTTGGCCCTCGCTCCAAATTAGAGATCTAGCAATAGACCAGTGAGCTTAGGCTACGTCATCTCAAAATTAGTAACAGAGCGTCTACCATGTTGGGATCTGAGGGAGAGATCCATGGCCCTGAGGGTCTTTCGGACCTGCGTTCTGAGCAGCCGCTTCTGCTTGAATATGGCGTCAAGTTCATCTGAGTGGCCGCTGTTGGTCGCCATAGTCAACGTCGCCGCCGTGCCACCTAACTGAAAAGAAGGTGACCAATGAGCACAAATGCGACACCACACACAGCGAGCCTTCGTTGCTATTGCATTTGCGTCTGCGATCATCTGTGTCCCCTCTACTTTTTTTAAAATAATAATAATAATAATAATATATTATTTTACTAATTCTTCCCTCGCGGCAATATGTTTATTTTTTTTTATTAAATTGCATAATACTAGTGTTCCGCCCCGTGCAGAACGTGAAATCAGGTCAACTCAAACATCTGTATGATTAGTTGTTATTTGCTTAAGTAATATGTCAATGATCAAAATGCGGTCAGACTTCTTAGAGAATTTGTAAGTGATATATGCGTGATGTTTTCCATAGCCAAGAGTTAGCTAACAATAACAATTAAGAAATAGAAGCATAGGGTAATGCTGTGAAGATGGAAGTCAGATCAAAATTATGACTTCATGGAAAATATATATATATATATATATATATCCATATTACTTGACAAAATTAACAATGAATTCCGAACCGTATTTCTTTTTTTTTTTAAAGATACTGAAAAGCACTTATTATATACTAAAATGAAGTGCAAACCCAAAAAATTATTTGACAAAAACTATCAAAATAACTCTTTAAATGGCTAAATATATTATAAATGGTAAAACATGGTTACCTTTTAAGTTAAAACTACATCGTGTCCAATTAAGCTTTTCTAATGAAGTTTTCATGAAAATTCATCTGAAAATTATTTAACGTATAATTTATATATAAATCATTGTTTTCTGCATATGCTTGATTTTAACATAGATAATAGTATTTGGATATGTTTAACGAAAGTAATTTCTTGTATGCATAAGTGATTTTAACATGTAACAATGGTTGAAATTTTTTTCTTAACAGAACCTTGATTTTTGGTTCATACGGAATTCCACTATAGAATGAAAATGTCAGGATATAATAGCTTTAAACCCTGTGGATGCACAGAAAAGTGTTCCTCATGGTAAGAGTTATATTATAATGTTTTATACGCAATATTTAAGGGGAAAAAAAACATTGAGAGAAGGAGGAGGTAGAGAAGAAAGAGCAATAGTCAATAATGTTCCTTAATGGATAGAGAAAAATATTTATCATAGATTGTAATCTGGATCAAGGTAATTATAGTAACTAGAACAGCATTAAGTAATTTATTTAATGCTTATTTAAAATTTGAAATACTTTATACTATGGCTTGGCCGAAAAGAGAAGAATATAGAAAAATGACATATTCATAGCTCCTATACAAAACAAACAAAAATTTCATAGACAGCAAAAAATAGTTCAACATGTCATTTGTAGGCATGCTTTGATATAACTCACAAATTCACGGCTTGTTTCTATACCTTCAAGATCCACTTCAGCACCAAATTCATTTAGTTTCGTGTTGTCACCTACAAGAAGACCACCACGTGCATATATTGGGAGGTTTTCTTCCTTATATTATGGCTAACACTTCCTCCACACTTTTCCAACTTCATCCTTCCATAGTTAAATTCCTTAAAAGCCACTGATATTTTTCAATCTCTATTATAAGTATTCTCTTCCAGTGCAAATCCCGCTGCCAATTTCTTCAAACTCAAACCCTTCATGAGCCTACAAAATTTGTGATAAATTCAAGACATCAATCTTGCAGGAACTACATGAAGAAACAAAACTAGGTTGTGGACAATTGTTTTCCTTCCTAAACAGTCCTATATTAGCAAAAGCTAGAGGCTGTTAATGATACATAAGCTTGTAGAAATTCAATATAATGAATCTATATAGATACAAAGGCACAGTTGAGATCACAATACATAACCCAGTGTTAACATATATAATACAGAAAATAGTGGTAAATATGTTAGAAAAATATTGTTTGAACATCCTATTAAGACTGTGCTAATAATGACGTATGGCATTTGACATATACAAATCACAAATGCAAAATAGGGAGGAGTGGAAAACACATGCAATCACACTCACGGAATCAATAGCTCAAGACAATTCAATTCTGCAGCTTCAAGTGCTGGCTATTATTTAAAATCCAAAACTTGATAGGACAACGTGCCTCAAAAACAATCATTAAAAAGGAAAAAATGTTTCAGGATCCTATGTGTTTTTGGCTTAAAAATAAATGCTGAATTTACCTTTTATCTTTCATAGGTAACAATTTTACATAACTTCAACAATAAAAAAAATGTATCAAACAAACTCAAAAGTGTATCAAGCATTGGTTTAACCATTCTATAGGGAGGCAAAGTAGGTATTAAGCAGCACAGCTACAAAGTGAAATTGAATTATTGATTGTGCAGCAACTAAACAAACTACCATAAAAAAAAAATTATACCCCACACCTTAGTTGATCATTTGTTTAAATATAATCCTTGAATTAGCTCCTTGTAAAACACAAATCCAGTTAGGGGCTTTTCTTTTCCATTCCCACAGATTAAAACCCATATCCTTGCATAAATTGTTCATAAGATCCAAGCTACAATGCGCTTATATTGTGAGAATAATAATCAATCCTGTTGTGCAAAAAGCCAAAAAAAAAACATTATCAAAATAAAATAGTTTTTCCACAGGAATGGAAAATATATCACCACGAACCTTCAGCTTGCATCTTCTAGTAAGGTGTAATTTGTCAGCAACAAAAGAATAAAAGCTGACTACTGATAACATATACTTAGTAGAACATAAATCTTTATTAGCATAAGTAACTAACTTAATCACTTTATCCATCCCACTTAATGTCACAAAAACGTAATTACATTTTTTTAGACAAAACTACAAAGTTGATACAGGCCATAATTGTCTATTGCAACATTTAAAACATGGTTTATACAAGACACATCATGAAAAACTCTATTTCAACTTCTATGTTATGATAAGTTCATAATATGAGAGCATGCAAAACTAACAATCACTGCTGCTAGAAATAATTCCACCATTTCTATAAACTAGCTACTTACCTATCACATTAAAAGTTACACCTAGACCAAAAGAATCCCTCAAAAACCCAATGTACTTGAAGGAGAAAATATGCGAATAATGTATAAGATGATGTGGTTATCAAAAAGATAAATGACGAATATCTAGAAAAGTGCATTACCAGGCTGAGCTCACCTTCACATTTTACCTCATTATGTTGCATTTACATGTAAATCTATAAGAATGGGAATTTCTAATCCAGCAAAATATACAACGTCAAACTAAATTTTTTATACTAAAAATTAGAACAAGTGGCTGAAATTAAGCAAAAAAAGATGCAAATACCGTAGGGCATCATCTAGTCCTCAACTCCTGCATAACCCAAATCCTAACATTACTGTAGAAAAGACTTTTAACAATTATTTTAAACTTTTTACGACAATTATTAAAAGAAAGTAAAAAAAAAAAGTAAAAAATTGCCTTTTCACCATGTCGGTTATTTCAAAAACCAATGTGGAAAGTCTCAAGTAAAAATAATTTTTTAAAAAAAAATAAACTTTTAAAAGCAACTTTCCACAACGGTTATTTGCATATTACCGTTGTAGAAAGTTTTTTTCACAACGATTTTTTAAATAACCATTGTTAAAAGTATATTTTTTAAAAAAATTGTTTGTATTTTATACATCCAGAATTTAAAACCTGTAAATATACATATTTAATCCAACATCAATGGCAATGTTAACTAAGTATTCAAATAATTTAAATACCTAAATTCATTTATACAAATACCCAATTATCATAAAATATAAATTTGAAAATTAAAATAAAGATTTGAAGGCACAAATTCATCTATTAAAATACCTAACTATACAAATATTCAATTAAATCAACTATCTATAGTACCAATATTCAAAAAAAATTGACAAAAATAAATAAAAATAAAGACTTATGGTGGAGTTTGCAAGAACTATCTAATAAAAAAAGAAGATAGAAGAAGATGAGAATCACCCACACCTGTAAGTTGAACTGGCAAGGTAGGGAGAAAGGTGAAAGCTTTGAGTGAGAAAGAGAGAAGAGAGAAGATAAGAGTTCACTCACAGATCTAAAAAAGTTGAAAAAAATGCATTTGAAGAATCATCCAACTAAACAACCGAGGAGGAGGAAGATGAAAGAACCTAAAGAGAAAATATATTTGAAGAAGATCATCAACAATGGAAGAAGGAAGGAAAGAAAATTGAGAAAATGACCTCCAGAACGAAACCCATTAACTTCTAAAATATTCAAAACAGCAAACAACGATGAACAGAGAATGGTGGATGACGGATGACGATAGGAGGACAAAGAATGACATGAGTCAACAGTAATAATGGTGAAAGGTTGGACCTTTTCGATAGTTTATGGGTGTGTGAAAGCTGTTTTTTAAGAAAAGGAAAGAATAAAAGACGCTGAAACATAAAATAGGATGTTAAATCAGTTAAAAAATTATAAAAGAGAAACAACATTGGTTATTTAAAATTCAGTTTTAAAAAAAATTGATGTGAAAAGTTCAAAATTTTTTATTTTGAAAAATTTTGTCACATCAACTATCAAAGAATTGATGTGGAAAGTTTGAATTTTTTTTTATGTTTTTTTCCATGTGAGTTTTCAAAATAAAAAACCAGTGTAAAAAGTTTGTTTTTTTTTTTAAGTTTTCTATATCAATTTTCTATAAAATCAACATGAAAAAATTTTTTTAGGTTGGTTTTTTATCTAACCGATGTTAAAACTTTTGCAAATAATTACATTTATACCACTATTTTTTTTACTATGGTTTTTATAAAATTGATGTTAATTAGTGATGTAAAAAGCTTATTTTCTAATAGTGAAAGAAAATGTTTGCTCAAAACCATAGATAAAAAAATAATAAATTATACCTAGAGATTGGAACCTTAGCATCATTATAAGAGTCTCATGTTTAAGAAAATCAAATGAAATCTAAGCACAAATTCCCATTTTTAATACCCATCTTGATAATCTCATCAAGAGAGTAAATTACCAATGAGAGACTCATGATGAAATCTACAGAATGGGAAAATAATAAATCAAAGAATTCTATCAGTAATTACTAAACATCAATTGACTTGTACTAAAATGAGATAAAAAATCAGCAAAAAAAAAGAGCAACTCTTCAAACATAGCTTATTCAAAAATAATAATTATATGGCACCTTTGGAAAAATGATATCAGCTTGAAATAAATATAAATTATCATAAACTCAAAATTGATAATTAATAAATAATGATAAAAAAAACATGAACAGGGACAAGCAATGTGTAGCAATAATATACCTTTATAGTCTCCTAATCCCTCCCAATTTGCATATTCAAAATTCATTAGCAAAGCTTCTACAAGACAATAAAATAAGACAAGCTAAGAAAGATCAGATTCTGAAAAATCTAACAAAAAAACATAGCATTCAAAAGTTTTATCATTTTCATACATAGGGAAACTGCATAGAATATTTTTGACAAAGCAAACTACTTTTATTACTTCAAGCTCCCTCCTAGGAATTACATCATAACCTTACAACAAAACTCCAACTCTTTGATCAATGCGGAATTCCCCTAAAGGTTTAGAAAGCCTTTGACTTTTTAAACCAACATAATCTTCAGAGTGCTTGCGCTCACTGCTGTTAGAATCATAACTATGCCCCTTCAATCGACTGCCCACAGTGTATTCTTGAGTGTGGTTCCTCCCATTGTTTTGTTCATTATTTTCCTCATCCACGATCATTAAAATTGAAATATGGCCCAAGAAATCATAGGGTCTTGTTGGAAAAGGTGAGCGACCACGAGAATGTCACTGTAAAAGTTGTGGGGTTTCGGAAAGTATCACTTGGGGGAGGGGGAAATGAAATGGGGGATGAAAAAGGGAGAACAGAAAAATGAAGAGAAGATGGATGGTGAACCCATTGGCTGAGATCGACGCCAATTTGTTCTAGAAGAGGGAGGTTGAGATGCTTGGTGCTTTGCTAGTCTCTGCAACGCAAACCCTAGAATCCGAGACCAATGTGAATTTTACACAGGATGCAAATGGGAACACGGAAGAATATCAAGATGGTATAAAATGGTACGACGAGGCGTAGGGAGCAAGAAAAATACTGGAGTGAAGGCGATGGAAATTGGAGATAGGTAAATTGAGAACCAAGGTAATACAAATTACGAACACGCCACTACAAGTGGGAAAATGTGAGGAAGGAGCGCATGGCGGCATATTTGAAAGAATAAACCCCGCCAACAAAGGATTGGACACCTAGAAAGAAAATTGAAGTATGGCCCAAGAAATCTACAGTGCCCATCGAACGCTGAGGAGAAAGAGACGTGAGGAGGAAAGAAAAGGAACCCAGAAGCAAGAGAGTAATCGACCACAAGGCGGGAAAAACAACTTGATGCCCAAGAAAAATACATACCAACAAGCATACAAACAGAAGCGACAACCAATCCCTCAGAAAAACACACACTCTGCTTCGCCTGAGGTACACGCAGGCTCAAGAAATTGAAGATATAAGAAAATAAAACGTAAAATGCACCAAAATCACATGGCAAACCCTCTGAGCAAAAACCTATCCACACATAGTCCCAATGGTGACAAAGCCCAAAAAGACAACACACCATTTGAGATCGTTGCTAAAGACGCACCTTGCAAGCACCCCCAAGAGAACGCATAAATTTATCCATCATTGCATGTGAATGATTGACATAAACAGAACGAGATAATTATTGTTAAAGTATTGTTCATGGTTTTCTAAAGTTTAGATAGGAAATTGATTTTGAAAAAAAATAATAAAATCATTAAATTATATAAATAATAATTTAATCTCTCAAAATATTATAATTTCATTGAAATCCTTAGAGACTTCTCTGTTAATAAATTTTCAAGTAAATCGCAATCACAAATTTTGCTTAAAAAATAATAATTTTTGCTTTGTAAATTGTAAGAGTTAAACAAAAAATCAAAACTTGTCATATATAATTTCTAATATTGAAAAATAAGCTCCAGTCATAATTTTTACTTAAGAGATAATAACTTTTGTTCATGAATTGTAAGAGTTGAATAAAAAATTATAACTTGTTAAATATAATTTTTGTTATTGAAAAATAAGTTCTTAAAATAATAAACCCCAATCACAAATTTTATTTAAGGAATAACAACTTTTATTCAAAGAATCGTAAAAATTGAATAAGAAATCATAATTTGTCAATAAAAGTAAAATGATCTTTTCAATTTAAAATTTATTGACATAAAAGTTTTTACAAATTTTAGTAGAATTATAGTATTTTAAAAGATTAGATTGTCAAATTCAAAAGAATTTTATTGTCATTTATATAATTTGAAAGAATTTTATTGCCATTTTTCTTAATTTTTTTAACTTTAAAACAGTTGCACATAATCTTCAATTTTAAAATTTTTTAAATTAACCTTTTAAATTTTTATTTTTATTTTTCAAAGCCATCCACTGTTAATTAACTTTGTTATGTTATTAAGAGAGTTTGTTATGTTAGAGTAATGCAATGCATATGACACATGAAGTAAAAAATATTTTTATTATTTTTTAACTCAATTTAAGGAAAGAAAAAATTATAATTTTTACTTTTAATATGCTCTCATTTTTTTTAGCTGAGCGACATTATTTTTATTTTCACTTTACTGTTAACATAATTTAAGAGAAAAAATTTAATTTTATTATTCTTTATCAATTAAAAATTTAAAATAACATTTTATATTAAATAAGTAAAAAGAAAAATATCTAAAAGCTATCATTGATAAGTTATTTAAATAAAAATATATCCTTTGATACAAGAAAATAATGCACCATTCATGACCAAAAAAAAATAAAACTAATACAAAATGAAATATTAAAAATTTTTCATTGATAGTAACATTTTTTGACTATCAATGATTCAACTATCCAAAAAAAAAATTAAGGGTAGTGAGGATTTTTTAAAAGATAAATGACATTTTAACTCTTATAAAAAATAATATAATTTTTATTTATTTACATAACATGCCACATAAGTTTTTATGTAACTTTCCTTAATTTGATATGGAAAATTTTATAAATAACATAATAAAGTAATTAAGAATAGGGAACTTTCAACAAATAAAATTAAATATTAAAAGGGTTAATTTTAAACTTTTCGTGATGAATGAGTTATATGTAACCCCGTCAAGGTTTTATGCCTTTTTTTTTTTTTTTGACCAGCTATAGTTTGTTTTTGATTCGTCGTTAACTCTATATAGGCTGACATTGGCATGCAAACGAAACTACTGCCTTTCTTCGACTGAACAAAAATATTCTGCGGATGAATTTATTGCCAATTCGGCTTTGCATTGGAAGCCTGGAAAACTAAGGTTCTGAAGCTCAAATCACGTTTTGTTGAGAGTGGTTACTTCCTTCACTTAAAAATATAAAATATTTTTAATTAAATTTTATTTTTTTAATAAAATAATATTTACTTTCAAACTAATTCTATCTTTTCATATTTATTTATATTAAATACCCTACAATAAATATAAAGTCAACATCAATAAAGACATTTTTAAAAAAAAGCAATAATTACATTTCAAAAGACTTAAAAATATTTTATATTTTTAAACATTTAACTTTTCAAAAAATATCTTATATTTTTTAATAGAAGGAGTGTCAAATAGTATAATTTTTAGATTCACAATTAAAAACAGTAACGAATTCAGGAACACAGAGGGGTCAAAATTGAAAATCATCTAAAATATGAGGCACCAAGGCTATGTTTTTAATTTTTTACAAACGAAATTTTAAAAAAAAAATCTCAAGGAGGAGTGAAATTGTGGGCTATTCATTAGTGGTCAAACGTTTTGAAACCAAACAGGATTTTTTTTTTCAGAGAATCTCACACAAATCTCACTTAAAATAATTAATTACTTTTAAGTTAATTGACAATTAAATTTAGGAGGATGACAATAACTCCATTGTCAATGGATCTCAGTAAGTAATTGTCTTGAGTAGAATCTTAAAATAATTCTCTTTATTTATTTTTCAAAACCAGTTTGAGTATATAAGTAATAGTGCTGCGTTTGGCATAAGTTTAATTATTCCTTCTTCTTTTTTGTTGTCTTCCTCTACTTCTATATCTGGAAACTAGATTTTGTATTATACTTAAAAAAAACAAACACAGACACACACAGAGGAGGAGCTGCATTCTGTCGGATATATTAGAGTCATGTGCATCCACCTTTCTTATTTTTATTTTTAAGCGATATTATATAAGAGATTGACTTAATAATGCCATGGAATTGATAGCACTTGCAAGTAGATATGAAAAGCCTCGCTTATTTTGAACTATCAAGGACATGCTTAATTCCTTTAAACGTGAATTATTTTGTCAGACAAATAATAATGATGAAAGCATATAGCAAATGAAACAGAGCATGGTAGGCGATGGAAGATTTAAAGCAATTTAATTATAATTTAAGTATACGGCAAGATTTAAGTCAAATGGGGGAAAACATAATTTTCATGTTAATTGGCTAACGAGATAATAAAGCTTTTGATGCCTCAAATTTATATCAATTATTAATTTGGTCTCCAAAGTTTAATATTTATCAATCAAATTTCTCAAGTTTCATAATCATACATAAGTCGTTTTTTCCTTTCAAACAATAGGGACAAGTGCGTGAAAGTGAAATTGCAGGAGTTTATTTGATAAAAATTAAATTTTAAGGGACCGAATAAATAATTGAAATAAATTTGAAGGACAAAAAAATTGAATTTGTTAAAAGCCTATAACGTTTTAGATTGTGGGCTTGATGGAGCTTCAGGGTAAGCTGTTAGCAACCTCAATTTTCAAAACTGCTCGATAAACAGACAAGGTTAGAAACATGGAACTGTCAAAATAAAATCATATATATAAACAAGCAAACCTAGTCAAGTTTGTCCAATTGATCCTAGTGAAGATAACTAGAAGCCTATTGATGTGGATATTCAGAGAAACTGTGTGAGCTTTTACAGGACATTCTTTGTAACTTTCAAGTGCAACGCCTCTAGTTTCAGAAATATTACACCGAGAAAATTGAGAGAGAAGGAATTTGGTATTAACACCGTATATCCATCCAAGCTTCCTATACCTGACCTCCCCCCCCCCCCCCCCCGGGCAAGCACATGTAATGTCTCAATCACACTCTGGTCTCAGACTCTCAAGCCTCCACCACCAGTGAGACTCTGAGCTGCCTCTTTAAATGTCTGCCTGTAATAACTTTCTTCCACTACACTCGAGAGAGTCCATTACCATCAAAACCGGTAGGATCATGCATAGTCTGACACAGGGCATGCCTTAGGGGATGTCTTTGGAGAATTCATTACAAGGTGCTTGAGCTTCTCCAGATTCTCTGATATGGCTGTCAAAATTTCGGATTCTTCACTTTGTTCTTCATGTTGCTTGCCAACAAGCTCTAAGAACTTACTGTCTGCTTCAAGAGCCTTCACAATATCAGTAAGGGATGTCAGGGAGGCTTCACTTGCTTTATCTGCAACATTCAAAAAAAAAAAAAAAAAGATTGTAACTTTGTGATACTATAACAATAATTAGAATCCCACTAACCTGTAAAAGGCATGTTATGTTTTATGTTACCTGTCCCATGTTGTACAACGCTTGAACTGTCAGAACTAAATTGTGGGAATTGAAACCCATTGTCTACTATGTGATTTCTAGTATCCAGCTTCTTTATCCGGTTTAGAAGATGTGATTTGTCCCCCTTTATGTCTCTAAGTGACTCGCTTGGTCTTGCCCCACCACTATCCATCTGAGCTGACCCTGCTTGATGAAATTTGTGGCCCTTTTCTTCATTATCCTCACCTTCACTGAACATGGGAGGAGAGCCTGTACTCCCTTGGTGAGATAAGTAAGGCTGAAATCTGAATTCCTGGGAATCTTCATGAAGGTCTCTCATTATATCCTTAAAATCATCTTCCGATAAGCATCCATATTTCTCTCTGTAAATGGCCAATTCAGCTTCTAGAGCTTTGATTTCATCCTCTCTTCTCATAAGCATCTCACTGGCTGCTTGTAGGGCTTCTTCATCATACTCTGCTTGCTCCTCCATCATTCTCTGGTACTGTAAAGCTTCCATCTGCACGGCTGCCTTCTCCGCCTGTAATCGGGTGATCATGGCCATTGCATTGTTAGCAGCAACAGCAGAAGCACTTCTTTCTTCATCCAGCTCCATGTACAAAGCCATGAGTGACTTGCGATCCAAGCGAACATGTCGCTTCAAATGGTTCAAGATGGCATCTTCTGCTTCAAAATGACCATGTCCCTCAGTGGAGTCACCAGACAAGTCCGTTTTCTCCAGTGAGGATTTCTTATTGGGTTTGAATGACCATGATCTGGGGATATAGTTTGCAGCATCTGCAAGTGGAATCCCAAAGAACTTATTGCCCCTCGTAAAGGTAGGGGTTTTGTTCGGTTCCTCCTCACCTTCTGTCCCAGAAGCAGCTCTCAAATCTTCCTTTGCTGCATAGAAAATTAAAAATACTATATGTGACATCCTAATTATTGAAGATTAAAAAAAGAAATTTTCATTAGCCACCACAGCTTAAACTTTTTAGCATAACGGTACATTGAAAACCCGGGAGACCAACAAAACAAGACCTGTGAAAATCATAATCATATCAGATTCAAGTTTTGTATTTCATACTTACATTTGGCATCTTGACTATGATTCCCATGGTAGCCATCCACATCTTCAGTGGCCTCCGAATCACTAATCTTGGTGTCTGTCAATCGGGTTCGTGGGGTTTGAGGTAATTCCAAACCACGAGATTCCTCATTCCTCGACGTCGTATGAGGATGAGCTCGAGGTGAAGGAACGGGAGCATGTGAGTAAGAACTTTTCCCTTTAGGATAAGAAGATTTTGCCCTTAAAGGCTTCCCACAGCAAGAACACTTCTGCGTACTACTTTTCTCTAGAGGCATCCCATCATCTCTCAGGCTCAATTGAATCTGCTGATCATCCTCAACGAAGCATTCTAGATCTTTGTGAAGAATCCCGACAAGAGATTTGTAGGTATCGCAATCCGATTCTTTCTCTGTGGCAAAAGAAAGGAGGCAGCTTTCGCACATTTTCTTAATATCGGAGAGTTTCCTATGGTTGTGGCAAAAAGCCAAACACGATACATCCTTCTTGTGGGACTCACATACGGAATCGTTGTAATAGAAATCTGGGTTTCTGTGAACCAAAACGTGGTCGAGTCTGGTGCAAAGCAAGCACGGAATCTTCAATTCGAAGAACCTGGCGAACTCATTCGCGGCGAATGCAAGAAGCCCATCAATAAAAAGCAAGATTATCAAAACCCATTCGAACACAGCAAAGATCATGAAGTGTGGAATCTTTCCTAGTTCTTCCTCAACATAACGACTGAACGATCGAGTAGCCATGTTCCCCCACTACGATAATATTTTCTGTATGTGGGAAACTATCGCTGTCCTTTTAAGACCCTGCGAGGCGAAGAACAGAAAAAACAAAGACTTCTCTGATATAATGTGGTAATGGCCGTCGTCGAAGGAGAAGGGGATGATGAGAAGGAGATAGAAAAAAGAGGAAGAGGTTATGAGCAGTCTCAGAAGGTAGGGACAGGGAAGATCATGACCTTGCTGGGACAAATGGAAATGGAAGGAAGGAAGGAGATTACGTCCTCTCTTTCTCTCTCCGTTTCTTTCTCTCCCTCTCCTTGTAAGGAAAGAAGAAAGATATGTTACAAAAGAAAAGAAGGTCCTCAGAGTTTGGGCGTTGGAACTCTGTTTTGCCATAAATAGAAACAGTCTCTGCTAAAAACTATGGTGTCTAGGCGCGCTTTTACCTCAAATAACGCTCTATCGTGAGCTTTATCTGTTTCATTTTCAAGCGACGACGCGGCAACTGCATCTACGGCGTTGTTTTCAACCAAAAAGTTAATAGGCCTTTGAAATTTTTTTGTTTTCCATTGAATTGGGTTCTTCCGTCCTTTTGAAATTTCAGTTTATCCGTTCTAGTCAAAGTCCGTCCTCAAATATTTAATAATAAAATTAAAAGAAAATTTTTAAAAAAACATGATGTAATTTATCTATTGTAATGAATTAAATTTCAAAAATATGTTGTAAAATTTGACTCAATTGCACTTACAACCGAAAATTCAGACGGGGCCGGACTTATTCAGGCCCGGCCCGAATAAGCCCGAACCCAAACAGGCCCAACTCTTTGAAAAGCTCGAATAGCCAAGTTCGGCTCGAATTTCTTCGGGCTTCGGGCGGCCCGAATACCTGAATTTAATTTTTAAAATTATTTTTAATTATTTTTTACTTTGAAATTAATTATTTTATTTCATAATTATTTTATTTTTAATTATTTTTAATTTTTAAAAATATATTTTATATTTTTTTAATACTTAAATGATGTCTAGGACTCAAATATATAGTATTTTAGTATAAAATAATCTAAAATTTAAAGAATTAATTAATATTTATTATATTATATATATTTTTTAAAAATATAATTTTTTTATTCGGGTATTCGGGCCAAGCCCGAACCTGATCGAGCTTGGCCCAAATTTTTTCGGACCTATTCGGGCCGACCTGAATAGACCCAAATATAAAAAATATCTTTTTTTAAAAGCCCGGCCCTAAAATTTTTCGGGCCAATTCAGGCTAGTCCATCGGGCTTGGCCCGAATTCCCGACTCTAATTGCACTTGATACCCTTCTTACCTCAAAAGTAGCATTTATTTTTTATTCGATATATATTGAGCAATATTCTCTCCTCATTCATTTACTAATAATTACTTTACTTTTGCCATGTTTGGTAGACTAGAATTGTAGAGATGGAAATAAAATTGAAAAAAGAATCTGAATAAAGTGATGTTTGATGGACATGAATCATAATTCTCAAAAATCCCAATTTCATGAAAATAGGTTGAATTGAATTCTTTATTTAAAGTTATGAAATCAAGGGCAATTTCATAGAATTGTGACTTTTAAGACACTTTTACCCTCATAAAAATTATAGAAAGACAATTTTGCCCTAAAAACATATAACCCTAACCACACCCAAAAATGACCACACCCAATTATAATATATGTGTGTATGTGTAAAATATAATACGATATATGTATTTATAATATTTCTTCTATGAAATATTTTACTTATATATAATATTTATCATCTATCTAATATTTTATTTATATACTAAACATGTAAGGAAATTAAATTTTTTTTGTAAAATATTTTACTTATATATAATATCTATCATCTATATAATATTTCATTAACATATAAAATACATAGGCTCCGTTTGGTAGCTTGGAATTATAGAGAAAGAAATGGAATTGGACATGGAATCTGTTAACATGTGTGTTTGGTATGCAATAATTATGATTCTTTGGAATCAGGATTCAAGAAAATTTGGCAGAATCTAATTCCATCACATGCATCATGGAATCCAATTCCATGATTTCTTTTCTCCAGTTTGCCCCTTCTCTCTCCTCCAATATAATTTTTTTAAATTTTAAAAAGGACACTTTAGTCTTTTCTTATTTTAAGTACTTATATTTTATTAAAATTATATCAGGATTCCATCATCATACCAAACACACTTTTAAATCCAATTCTATTCCGATTCCAATTCCGATTCCGATTCCGATTCCGATTCTGATTTCATTAAAAACTTTTCCATCATACCAAACATGGCCATAAGGAAATTGAAATACAATTAAGCTTTTATAATATTTTATTTTAATTTCTATATAGGGATATTTTTGTCTTTTAAGTATAATTTCATTTCCATGTCTTACGTACCAAACAAAACTAATGTAAAGATTCTATCTAATTTTTCTAACATACCAAACATATTTTTGTAATCTAATTCTATTTTAATTCTAATTCCATTTCCAATTTCAATTCCATCAAAAACTATTCAATCATACCAAACGAGGCCTTATGAATAAAGGTATCATGATTTTATCATTTACTCCGTATGGTTTTATTTAAAAATTATTTTTATTAATTTTATCAATATCAATGTAATAAATATACAAGAAATAGTTATAAATAAAATTTTAAAACTAACCCTAAAATAAAAAGGCAAAAGCTAAAATTAATTAATATAATATTATTTTTTTATATTTCTCTCTCATATGAGTGAGGGTATTTTGTTAACTTTATTTTGAAATGCACATTCATTATTAACAAGTGACTAATATTGTGGATCATATTTTCCTTCTGTGTGACTAATAAAGCAAACCGAAAAGAATATATTACACTAGGCATGAAGTTGTGAGCTAAAATTGTTGAAAAAATTTTTACTATCCCTTGACCCAATTTAATTTCACCACACATGAGGAGGATTGCACGTGCGAATGACTAAAATTAAATTATAAAGCTAATTGAAATAACAATATTATTCCTAATAATATGAATAATTGATATATATAAAAAAAACAAATAAGTAAAGTAGATAAAATTTACAACTTTTATCACTGTGAATACAAATAAGTGAGGCTATATATATAAACAACTTATATATGAAAAAATAGATAATTGCTATAGGTGAAAAAAAAATTACAAATTCATAATGATATTATATTCAAAGACGAGCCACGTTGAAGATGGTGGGGGCAATTGCCTAACAAGTCATAAAAATATTACACAATAAGACTCAAAAAATTTACATACGACCCTTAAAAAATTCCATTTGCCTCATTAGTTTGAAAAAAAAAATTCACGCCTTTTACAAAAATTCACTTATCCCTTATAAAATTTGATGACCTAGAAGACTAAAAAAATTAGCCCATTGAAAGAGAATTTTTTTATTTATTATAATTTTATATTGTATGCATTGTTTTTGGTATTTAATTTTTTCATGTTATTTCCTTACTATAATTTTATAAATAATTTTAAAATATTTTAAAAAATTATGAATATTTATTTATAATATAAATTATGCCCCCACTAACTCATTTTTCTAGGTCCGTCGCTAATTATGCTATTAATAAAAGTTATAAATTTTACCTATATCAATTATTTATTTTTCATATATAAGTGATTTCTTTTTTTCTACATGAGTTATTTATACGTTTAGCTCCATTAGAGATAACAAAATTATTTCAATCAGCTTTTTAATTTTATTTTAGTCTTCCATATTTAACTATGTATAGTGAAATTTTAAGAGTTTGATTGAAATTGAGTTGGATAAAAAAAGCGTGATTGAAATTTTCCCAAATTGTTATTTGAGTTTCAGAATGAGAATGTGCTTTTATTTTTAATCTGATAGTTAAAACAACTTTGGTAATTCTGTGCTTGCCGAAAAATCTAACTTGGCCTTTAATATCATAAAAAATAGAGTATGGTCATAACAACAACAACAACAACAATAAAGCTTTAAAACCTTTTTCTTTATAACAAAATTGTTAAACCTTTTTAACCTAGGTTAGACTTAAATTATAGAATAGTCAAATGTGATTTTTTTTTGAGCTTGTCCGATTTTAGAAATTATCTATATTGTTTAATTTTTTTTTATTTTAATCAGGAAGTCATTTTAATCATTTCTTTGTGCATAGCTACATTTTAGCTTTACTTGTTGATGTTGCTGTGGTTTGTATTAGTACTAAGAGGATGCCAAGCTGATCCTTCTTCGTCTAAACTAAATTTCACGCTTTCTTTCCTTTCCCTCTTTCTTTTCCTTTTTTCTTTCTTTTTTTTTTTTTTTGAACAACACTGGGTGAATTATATGTTTTCTCATGAATACGTGCTAATAACTACACCTTCCATCTCACACTATTAAACACTTTTAAAAAAAATTTTTCTTCTCAAAATATAAAACACTTTACGTAAATTAAAATGTTATTAAATGCATTAATTTTAATTTTATCTTTTTTAATAATTAATTCCTATCTATTATCTTTTCAATATATTAAATAATAAATATTTTTATATATTTTTAGTTTGAAAAGATAAGTTTTTAAATATATGTAATGAGATTTTTTTGTATGTGAAATATTATTTAAAATTATCTTATAATTTAAGATAGAGGGAATAGCTCTCAAACATCAAACATGTACTTATTAAACCATATAAAATTGTCACCGTCCAGCGTTTGGTTCTTAATAATCTGTGGAGCCATCTGGCAGTTTAAATGTCTATCATCGCCAAATAAATTTGTACTTAACATGCTATCCTGACTACTTGATTATACAAGAAAAAACCGGTTAGAAATTGGCCGTAAAAAACATTTTGTAAAGAAAAGGCACGCACGCTGATCCTTCTCAATGAAACGAAAGGACGAGATTTACCGTATTACATATATTATAGTTAATACAGTTAATAAGAACAACATCTCCTCCACTATTATACGGTCAAAGTAAAATATATGACAACTTACAGTCAAACCAAATTTAGAAATTCCTGGAATAAGTCTCTATTCACCTTTTTACTACACATTCATGTTATCTGTAAAACAAATAACCTGAAACAGACGAAAAGAAGGATAATAAAATAAATTAAACGTTGTACACTTCATTATCACCCTCCGGTCCCTCTATTTAGTCAAAAAGATGCTTATCTCCACAATTGAGGGGGCAAAAAGAAAAATCTTCCGAAGGAAAACAACTATGAGCTTAGCTAGTGGTTAAAGCATTTGTAGTCATGTAAGGTGATATGCATCCTTGGACCTGAAAACATGTTATATTTTGAATGACAAAATTAGGAATTAAATAATGTTAACACTGTACGGTAAAACAAAAATGGTCAAAATAGATACTTTTGGTGCTCTCTTAATCCCAAACATCAACCCTGGATGTCTTTTACAACTTAGAATCACATGATAAACTCTTTCGAAAAAGTTATTTCACATTTCATGATTTATCCACACACACACACACACACACAAATGGTAGTGAGAATTTAAAACCCAAGGCAAGTTCAAAGTTTTCCTCCATATGTTTTCTCGTTGGTGGCAGGATGACCTCTGTTCTTGCCCTAACGAGAACTTGAGAACCGTTCAAGAGTGTTAAAATCAACATTATGAAGCATGGAGGACTTCAAAACAAGTTATGATTGCACAAACAAGTTACGAAGCATGGGCATCTCTAGAATTCTGGAGAGGCAGGTAGCAACTAGTCACAAACTCACGAGTGTCATGACAGGAAGCATCGAAGTTATAGTTTCACAACAGATTTTCGAAGCACAAAGAAAAACAAAGAGAAAGAAATATGATTGCACTTTGAGAAGGAAACCTTTGCTCATGATTGTAGCAAACCATATCGTCAAGGAAGTAGAAGTATAGGAGAGGATCTCTTACCTGCAATAAACAAGTAGGAATTTGAATATGACCCTGTTGTAAGAGGTTGACTTTTTCTAGAGAACTCTGTGGCACAGGTGTAATCACATAGAGCACGCCTTTAAACACGTCAATGCCTCTCACAATTCCTGAATTATTCAAAAAAATGTAGAAACTTTTATATTATGACCACTTAATAGTTAAACCTTTTATTAAGTTTACATCCAGATATTAAAAAAAACACACACACAAACGAGAAGGTTGTGGGACCTGTGCTAATCACTAGAGAAACGACTAACCCCAGCAACAAAAGAGAAGAAGGCAGGAAGACACAACTCCAGAGAAACTCATTTTTTTTTATAATTTTACATTTGAGGGGTGTAGAGTAGCAAAGAGAGGACCCTTGAGATGTATTGAACTTGGTTTTTTTTTTATATACAAAATTAAAGATGCTGATAAACATATTGCAACCAACAGAAGAATGTGATTTGATAGAGTAACCCCATATAAATATTCCTCTGATAATTTTTTTTTTTTTTGGCATGGCACGTTGCCATCAAAAGTTTGTGATTTAATATGAAGTGCACTGTCAAATTAATCTCAGGATCAGCACCAAAATAAGCTTGTTGACCCTCGTTGTTCACTAAATAATTATTATAAAAATTGTTTTTAAGTTATAAAATTATATTAGAAAAAGAAATCAGGGACGCTTTGAGTCACTTTGAATTCTACTGCCATCAAAATTGCTTTCAAAAATCCTAAATTATAAGTAAGCACTTAGCAGTTAGCAGTACCATAGTTATGGCAAACAGAAAATAAAATAGCTATCTAACTGTAGAGCTAGGCAGAGTGAGACAAGTTTGAGAAGTTACCTACCAAGACCAACACACCAAGGAAATTTTCCAGAATCCTCAGAATCAACTGCTAAGCCAACAATGCTAGCATTCAAACTGTAGAATGATTCAGAGCTTGAAACCTAGAAAAATTTAGTTAGGACATGAATATGTACCTCATACCATAATACAATTCATATCAGCAATGCTATGGAAAATCCTAGTGAAAAAAATATTAAAAAAGTAAATTCAAAACGTTAAAAATCAAAATGGTTTCGGAGAGTAAAGGGTCAAATGCATATAATTAGAAGAAACTGCAGAGTGCAGAACGCCATTTGACTAACGGCAAATTTGAACCTACCATGAATTGAAGATGTTGAATCTTAATGCTTGCAATGGGAACTTCAAAAGGACGGTGAGACGCCAAAGCACGAGCAAGTTCCTTGATTGTAGAAATATTGCAATTGCTAGGAAAGCACTGTCTGAAATAACCCAATATTCGTGTATCTCGCAAGAGATGTGCGTCCTTCTGAATAAGCACCCTGGAAAAATGAATTTAAAAAAAAAAAAAGGATATTTCATGATAATACAAATGCAGATGAAGTCACCCATTATGAATGCTAAATGCAATTTGCCTTTTTTCAAACACAATGAATGACTAAAAACAAAACAATTTAGAAGCTGCAATAGGTAACATTCTGATCAGATTTGAACTTACGAATTATTTAATGAATCCCGACGAGCCGAATTTATCTCAATTAAGTTGACTCTCTCATCATGTTCCCCATCTAACCAGAATGCTCCAGCAGGTAGATTCTTATTTTCAGCAGAGATGTTTATTTTAACGACATGTGTTGGAGCAATATATTTCAACACACTCACTAACAAGTCATAACCAGCACCTACAATGCAATGATAATTCAGACATTACAAGCACCGCCATAAAGTATAGTATTCCAGGAAACACTCAGATCTCTAGTAAAAAAGTAAACTCAAGATTCAAAAGAAACTTAAAAGTGTAGAGGAATGAACTTTACCTTTCACCCAGCCTGGAGTATTCACAATAAGAGGCAACTCATTCTTTGGAGGATTTTCTCCCTTATCAAACATGCGGTATTCCTTCTGATAATAATCATAGATGGAAAATGCATAATTCAAGTATGTAAATGGTGCACTTTTAGAAGAAGTATCACCAAAGAAAAGGCACCTGCGAAAGAATAAACAACAGATAGTTAGTCAACCAAGCCCGTGACAAATAAATAAATATTAGCTTGAATTGATGGAACTTACATGATGATACATATACATCTAACAAGCAGGCCAACCAATCCACTTTCTTTAAAACATTTCACAATTATGGAACAGAATTGAAAGAACAAGTGAAGAAGAAGGAACGCCGAAGACCTGAGTGACACATGTATGCTCTCACCTTATGAGATGTAATATATGAAGCAAGATCACATGAACAGATAGTAATAATGCATAACGTTATTGACAGTTCTTTGAATATGATAAATATTATTCTAATGCTCAGATAGTTCAATTTAACGAGGAAAGCATGCAATACTCCTATCAAATTAGTAATGCAAGACAGCTTAATTTTTATGTGGTCCAATCAAAAGAACTTGTGTTACGGGCCATAAAAAGTGCAGCAGCTTTATCAAATTCTTCGTAACAATATCAGGAAAAGGAATGGAAAGTTAGTGGCTCATATTTATCCAAAATTACTAGGTGACATAGCACTTCATACCTCTCTGGAGTCTTTAGGCATGGGATCGTCATATCTACAAGACAAATTAAATAATCTGAGTCAAAAATATCATTAGAAGTGCCTCTGATTGATTAATAAAATATTAAACAGCTGGAGATAATTAGAGAGATTGATAAAATACATCGCAAGACAGATAAGAAAGTAGATATCAAATAAATACCTGGAGTCACTTCATCAATTACGGTCAGTGAAAGAAAACCAGGCGGAGTAAACTCAGGCTGCCCAACATCTGTATCTAGATAGGCTACTTTCCTGTATCTGCATACATGAGTGATTTTTGGGGGAAAAGAATACATGAATTAAAAGAGGATGCTGCTTGCCACTCTCGTTCAGCCATTTTGCAAAAGTGAAAGCAAAATCTGGTTTTTGTTACAAATAGTGGCTCCAGGTGGTAAAAGAATGTAGATCCACTAGAGCATGTAGGATATCAAAATCACACTCCAACAGAGTGAAGAACCCAATGCAAAGTATAAACACAAAGAAATGTTTACCCTAAGATAAGGGGGAAAGAAACAAAGCAATCTCGTTGAATCAACACCGTGGGGAAAACAGGCTATCCGTATGATAGTTATCTTTTAAATTAAACAAGCACGTCAATGCAATCTCAAATAGATGAAAAATCAACTACGCATACCTCTGCAGTAGCACATTGAGAAGATAGCGGGAAAAGGTGGTCTTGCCGCAATTCTTGGGACCGCATATAAAAGCAATAGGAGGGGGCGAAGTCGATGAATCGTATGCAATGGAGTCAACAGCTTCAGACCATTCCTCCGAAATGTACATGTTAGGTGATGGATTCTCGTTCTCGGGAAGGGAAGTCATATCCTCTCTCTTCCTCTCTCTCTCTCTAATATGAATCAAATTATCAGTGCGTGCAGTGTTTTTGCAGGTCAGAAAATGAAAACCCTATGAGCTTCAACTTGTTCGTGAAATTATGGAGTCAGAGAGGCATGTAGATTCTGTGACCAGCTTTTTGGAGATGCATGTTCATACTGCAAAGAATACTCTTCAGCCAAGATATACGCAGCCCTCTACTGCCAAGACCCTGACCGTCAATATGATCCAACGGCTTCAAAGGACGCGCCAATCCCACTTAGACTGTCCCTCCTCTTTGTCTAAAACCTCCCTCCTACACTTTCTCCCCCCCCCCCCGGGCGCCAGGGGATCGAGCCGGATGAGGTGAGGGTGGAGACTGTTGTTGCGACACCGACACCTTCGCTACCGTTGACGGCGACGAAATCGAGATCAATATCATTCAAGGAAGCCAGGACGGGGAGAGGTCGTTCAAGGCAAACGAGTTCCTGAACCTATTGCGGCTTCTTCGATGAAATATATAGCCAACCCTTCGCACCAGCCACCAGACCACTCATAGCGGATTAGAAAAACTAAAAAAGCTTGGAAGTAGGAACTTCGAAGCCGATCGGGCCTTCGGGCGATTAAGATGTTTCGCTCAACTAGATTAATTGAGTTAAAATGAAAAGATAAGATAGATGATTAGCTTAGGAGAATTATACTTGGAACAATCTAATTAACTAAATTTATTAACAAGTAGCCAATCAGATTATGTAAGTAGCCAATCATTAACTAAATTTATTAATAAGTAGCCAATCAGATTACGCATCAATATGTTTTTTATGGTAAATTTCACATTAAAAATTACCAAATTTAAGTAATCAAAATAAAAATCTATATAATCAGGGTTTTTTTTTTTTTATTGCTCACGTGAAGTTGGAGATAAATTGAAAACTAAATTAGAACACTTTTTATAATAAAAATTAAAATTTTAATTCATCATATTATAAAAGGCTAATCTCTTCTACTATACCTAATATCTATTAGTAATAATTGACATTATATAAATTATGAATATGCATGATAAAGTTGGCATTGTTCTCTTTCTTTACACTTTATTGAATTTGAAATATAAGTAATTTAAAAAAAATTCACAGTATCAATAAAGTTTTCATCTCATAAAAATATTTATTATTTTTTTATCTTTAATTTCAATTGTCAAAGTACTCCATGATAAGTGAAAAATGAACTTATATGAATATCTAGATTAATAAATACAATGGGTATGATAGAAATCTTGTTTGCATACATTAGATTGCCTGTATTTTTAACCAAATATAGTTAAAAGGAAACACTTATATTTTAGATAGGAAGGAGTATATTTCATAAGAATATCTTCATTAATCATTTTTTGTGTAAGGCATGGAGTTTGACACTAGAGGTGCACTGGGCTAAGGATCATAATTTAATAGTACCTTTTTTTAATGAAAAATTAAAAAATGCTTTCAATTTCTTTGTGAACTTTTCATAAGCCGTGTTAATTACTTGACTGTTTTTAATAAAAAAAATTGTTAAAAATAAGTGCAATTAAATTTGTAGTTACATTGTAAAAATTATTTTAAAAAATATGAAAAAATTAATCATTTGATCTTTATATTTTTGACCTAGTTGTAACTCAAATTTTTAACTTTAACTTGTTATAACCCAATCCCTAAAATTTTGACTCAATTGTAAATTAGTTTTTAAACTTTGCCTCTTACAATTTAATTTCTAAAGTTTCAACATCTTAAACATCGATCCTTATATTTTAAAAATAAAATTATAAAGATTAAACCCTTTTAGAATAAAATTATAAAGGAGTTAATAATTTAAAATATTAGTAATAAATTAAACTCTTTTAATCTTTATAAATATTATAAATATTAACAGTTTAAAATATTTTTAATCTTTATAATTTTATTTTTTAAAATACAAGGATAAATATTTAAGAGATTGAAACTTTAAAAATTAAATTTTAAGAAGCAAAGTTCAAGAGTTGATTTATTACTGAGTCAAAATTTTAGAGACTGAATTATAACAAGTCAAAATTGAAGAATTAAGTTACAATTAAGTTTAAATTATAAAGACAAAATGGTTAATTTTCCCAAACATATAATAGTTGTACCACTAATTTAAAAGTTTTTATTGATTCAAACTTTTTAAAGTTTTATTAATAACCAGAATTAAACTTGTTTGAACTTTTTTACGAATTGATATAATCATTGAAAAGATTTATTTTCATTATTACAATTGAATAAAAAATCAAGTATTGAAAATTGTAACTCAAGTATAATTATTAAATAAACTTTATTTAAATTATAATTTATAATCATATCTCCACCCTGACATGTTTGATAAATATGGTGCTATTTGGAATTGATGATGTTATCTGAATTGCTTCTTATCTGTACAATAGATGGTGTTTGATTTGAGTTTGATAATTGGATATACATGGAGCTAAGAATTTAAGTGAGCCAGGCCTATTTAAGTTCGAACTGTCCCAAACAAGCAAGCCTAGTCCTAATTTCTTTGAGTTTCAGGTGGCTCGAATACTCAAATTTTATTTGTGATTAATTTTTATTTTAAAATTAATTATTTTATTTTATGAAAATATAAAATGTATTTTTTATATTTAAATAATGTATAGGATTCAAATATATGATATTTTAAAATAAAATAATTTAAAACTTAACAAATTAATTGATATTTATTATATTATATATATATTTAAAAATAAAAGTTGTTTATTCAAATGTCTGGGTCGAATTTTTTCAAGCCTATAGGCCAAATAAGTCTAAATATAAAAAAAATATTTTTTTTAAGTCTGGCTTCAAATTTTTTTCAAGTAAGTTCGAGCTAATTTATAGTACTTGGCCCTGAATTATCAGCTCTAAATATACACACAAAATTAACCAAAACACAAATAAAAATACAAATAACATAGTTTTGAATTATTGAAAATTTGAACATAAAATTCTACCCCAAAAAAGAGAGACAATTTAAACATAAAAGGGTAAATTACTTAACATGTCGTAATGCCAAGGCAACAACGCTCGGGACCTATGATCAAGGGTCAAGGCTGGGATCTGGGAGATAGTAAGTTGGGATGTATTAAGCTAAACCAAAGTCATTATCCTCCCTACCAGGCATGACTTGCAAACCTTCTAAGGGTAGAATTTCTTATTAACATTTTCTAACGCATACGATTGATCACTTTTCTACTCTTTTATATTATGGATGTCTAAAATTAATTATTTTTTATACGCGGTGAAACGGAAGCTAGACAGGTAAATATTTTTCTTTTTAATAAAACCGGATATCAATAGTTCACAATTACACAGAGTATAGCAGAGCTGACAAAAAAACAAATAAAAATTAGACTCTTTTATTATCCTCTATCCCTAAGATTTGGAAATGAATGATGATCAAAGAAGCAAAAATTATTATACAAAGCGTGTGATAAATAGACAGGTAAATATAAAAACAAAATTTTGAATTGAGAGATGATTGGTTTAACTGATTGATGAAATAGAATCAGTTTATCCTCTCGAATTTGAATCTTGAAATCTATAATTATAATAAACAAATGTGCCAATGACAATGAAACTTTGAATAATTTTTGAATTGTTTATGAAGTCCCTCCTTGGATATATATTACATTAAAATTCAAAACTAATTTGTACTGCCTTCACACTATTCATTCATTTTTGTTATTATCTATGTATCCAACGCGTATATCATTGAATTTTTTTTTTTTTTTGGAGGGGGGGTGGAGAACCAATCAATAACTGATAAAAACTTGTAGTCTCCCACTTGGAAAGAATCTTGTAATCAATTTTTATAAAATAGAATATCCATTTAACTCGTTTTTAACACTGAGATCATGTTTAGTTGTTAGAAAAAAAAATAAAATGAAATTAATTAAAAAAATAAAGGTAAAAATAAAAATGATGAAAAAGAATAGTGAACCATGCACATAAAGGGAGGGGGTGGCCTATTTCATAGGGTTGAGAATCACGACTCATGAGATTTTGTGTAGGTGTAATGATTATCACATTTATAATACATGTTAGTGAATTTTATCATGCTTATTATGAAGATGAATGATGATTTAGTTTATTTTTTTGTTGATTTTTTCAATCCATTCCTTCCTAATAACTAAATGTGACTTGAGGATTCATTTTTGATATCCAAAATACTAAATTGTTGATAGTATCTCAATAATTAAATAAATAATTAGTATTGGGTTTAATGAGCGTACTTATGAATCCATTGATGTATTGATGTGGATAAACTATCAGTCAATAATAAACCTCAACTACCTTGAGTTTAAACAGACTCACAACCCATTAAGTTCCTGTAGCTTTTCAAGGAGTACAGAGACAGTGGAGAGAATGAAAAGGAGAGTCGTCTACTGTTTTTTTCACTAATCACATTATATGGATCATATGAGTAACTACCTTAATAATTAATTAATTTAAGTAATCTCACATTACATTTGACTCAATCAATTAAGAAATAAGGAATAATTGACTGCTACAGTGTTGTAGGTTATGTGAAAAGCCCTAAATCATATCAAACTTTTCAAAGAAACTAGAACGTAGTTGAGTACACCCTAGGTTATTAAATTCCAAGAGAGCAAGCTTAAGCAACAAAAAACAATTCATAAACCATTTTTACAAGTTAAAAACAATGTTGGTTTTAAAAATCAAAATCAAAGTTTAAAGTGTTTATGATTTTTGAATTTTACAGGAAAATATGAAGTGAGATGAAATTGACTTAACCAAGCAAATCGGTGAGTTTTTCAAGATTTGAATCCACTTTCACCATCATAAAATCCTAAGGTCAATTTATTTGGTTCTTGCAACTCATTTGATATTAAGTAAAGTTCCTAATTACCATCAGCACTAGGTGATTATGGCTTAGACTAAGACACAATCCTCATGAAAGTTATGCTAAATGATGACTTAACTCAAGAATTAGACTTTCCTTTGCCTTGATGATATTCTAACACTTAGAACCAACAAGAATCAAGCAATTAACTTCAATTTAAGACCTAAACAGAAGCTAAATAATTTATACATTACCATAATGATTGAACGGATTAGCATTTACACAGCAAGAATCATTGAAGCATAAATTCAAACATATATTGTGTATCGTCTAATTAAAGAATCCAATTATAGCATCCAAATCTCTTGAGGGAATGAAATCAACTAAAAAAAATTTAATCTAACTATAACTAAATCATCAAGTCAATAGTAGTAATAAAATCAGAGAAATCAAAGGTGAATTATGATAGAACTGATTGGAAAGAATTTAAGGAAACTCAAGTTAAAGTGTCATCTCCCTTAAAGAACTCTGGAGAAGATTCAGTTGTCTATTCCAAACTTCCTCGAAGACTAATCAAGGAAGATGCCAGTGAGAGTTGCCATGGACTGTTGCTTGAAGAAATCCACAAGCCTAGATGAGTCTAGACTGAACTGAATGAGATGACGATATGCGACAGTGTGCGATCAAAGTTGAGTGGCTCGAAGCAATGAATGTGCATGTGGCATTGAACCTAAGATAGACGGGTGATCTGTGCGATAATGCAATGAGTATGTGTGA